GTTCAAAAATCTTTCATGGTTTACATAAATACATAAGCTGCCTCTGCATCTTTCAACCACCAAAAAAAAAATATATTAAAAAATATTTTAAATATTTCATTGATTATTTTACATTCACGAATGAGATTAAAAGACCAATTACACATCTTGTCAAATAATGAGAATTATGGTTCATAGCATCATAAAAAATAATAATAATTATCACGTTTTAAATATACATAACGGCATACTATCATGTTTTTTATCACACTCTTGTTCGAAAATTTGAAATAATAATACAAATAATTGAAATAAACTAAAATTTATAAATCAAAATTGCATTTTAATAAAGTAACACTTTTGATAGTCTTGAATTATATATTTTTCTTTTAGTTCCTCACGCCTTTATTTATGGCGTTAAGGGAAAAACGTATCTTTATTTTTGGTTTTTAAATCAACACTTTTACAGTAATAAAAACAGTGAAAAAGTTTCACGTAGCTGCATGTATATGATATTTTATCGATTGGAAACTGCAACTACGCTTTAGTATAAATGTCAATGTACAAATTGGAAAATTCTCATTATTTTTAAAGAAAAATTATGGAAGTGGTAAAAAACTATTAAACCTACTTTTCAAATCTCAAAGACTAATATCACTAAAAATACAATATACTCGCTTAAATATTTTTCTCTCTGTCTTGTTTTTATGAAATAAATTACCAAGTATAATAATATAATAAAATTATTATAAAAACTCTAATTGGAGCGAGTTGACTGTAAACATCACATACACCTTTTATGTATACTGTTTATGTCATATATTTTTGGTTCGATAAATAAAATACCTGACTTATATAGTAATTAAGTTTTTAAATTACATATTGAAATTATCATGGGAATAATAATTTTATTTTAAGACTGAAATCAATATTTATATTTAAGCTAGGGTAGAATTTTTTCTAAGTATAGACAAATTTAATTTAAATTTGAATCAAGTAAATTTATATTGACATTATATTATTATGTAGCATCTAGAATAAACGAATAGCATATTATTTTCGGGGCTTCTAATCTCTCAAATTTTAATAAATCGAATTAACACAGTGCATATCACGATCCTTAATTAAATATATTATTTTTACACATCGAAATAATATTTGCTATCAGAAAATTAATTTAGTCCTTAGTTTGACAAACTGTGGAAAGTTCTTCAGTAACTCGATTGAAGTGAAATAACCAATAATCTCTTTTTGGATTTTGTATTGAATTCCGTCAAAGTTGTTAAAAAAAAAAAAAAAAATGTTTTATTGTGTTTCAAATTGAAAATGTATAAATATACAATGAATTGGACAGCGCGTGGGTAAAAAGGAATAAGTCAAAAACACTACTTTTATGAAACTAAAAAGCAATTTAGAATATACAGATGTTAAAATATAGTGTTAACTATTACTTATTCATACATTTAGATCAGTGGTGCGCAACCTTTTTTTGATTTACGACCCTTAAATATATTTGTATCGATGAAGTGATCCTACACTGTTTTCGATGGTTCTTTAAACAAAAATATATTTAAAATCTTAAAAATTCAAGTTCTTTGGAATTGTATAACATATTCCATTTGAAAAAAATTTAATTTGATACGTCTCTTTTAAAATATGACTTTATGTTTATAATTTTGAATTATGATTATTTGTAGATATTTTCTTTGATCATATTTTGATAATTTTATCAATTCTTTTATTAGCGTAAATTTCAAATATAATTGGTAACATTTTTAAGAAATTACAACATATTAAAAATAATATTACGTATTAATAATAATGTTATGAAACTAAAAATTAAATCTCAACTTTACTTAATCTCTTATACTTGCATACCGTCCAATAATTCTAAAATTCAATTTCAAAATAATTAAAATTAAATAATGATTTACATTAACAAAACACAAACCATAATAATTTCAACATTAAAATGTGAATAGCTGTATTAATCTTGTATTCATACAATGTATAATATACATTGTACATTATAACATGTTTAGAATAATATAAATGTATATGTTATATTTTCAACATTTTAAGATAGGTAAGTATATAATTTAATACAGGCACCCGACATAAGACACGTTCATTATTTCATGCAATGCCATAAAATTATTCTTTATAAATTAGATACGATTTTCAATGCCACAAAATTAAAATAATATATTATTTGAAAATTGAATTAAAAAGCTAATTAATAAAATTATCTTGTATAACAGTAATTACTTAAGTACCATGTGATTGTCAAGAAATTTATTTATGATTAATCTATATAATTATAGCCATACATAGTTTATAATAGTTTTAAATGTGTTTTTTATATTACTGAAATGTAATTTTGGCTCTATTTCTCGATAAAAAATAAATAAAGTAGAAATACATTTTCAATTACAGAACAGCCAAACTTTTGTGTGTACAAAATAGACAGAAAATGTTTGTTATGATAAATTGTAAATGACATATATTGAAAATAACTAACTAAAGTTTGCAATCTGAACATAAATTAATTAAAGCATAGTAAATAGTAAACATTTCTTGTATCTTGTAGAATATTTTAAAAATTAGCATTTGCTAGAAACTGAAATTTATGAACTAATAAATTATTATGAATAACTTTTAAAATAAAAATTTTAATACGTAGCCATTGAAATCAATTTAGTAACTTACTGATCTAAAAAACTATTAAATAAATAAGCACTTATACACTTTAAAAAATTATAAATTTATTTTAAAAATATTCACTTATTTATTATTTTTTTTTTTTTTAAGAACAAATATTTTATTATTTAATAACCTAAAAAAATACTTACAAATGCAACAATTTTCAAACTATTATGGCCATTATTAGGGTTTGACAATTAAAATCAATTTAATTTAATTTAAATTATTACTTAAAAATATATTTTGGTATACCTTTGTAAAATAGTTATAGCATTAACACTATGTAATTGAATGAGCCTAATAAGCAATAGACATCTAACTTTAAATTTAGGTTTAAGTATTACTTTATTGGAAAGTTATTGATTATTATTTGTTAACACGTTTTTTTTTTTTTTTAATTAAATAAGTATATTTTGTATATTGAATAATTTAATAACAAATATATTGATTATTCCATACATATAGCCCTATACTTATATAATTTCAACTATTTAAATATTTTAATAGATTTTTACTTTAAAAATAATAATAATATTAAATTATATTTTCAAGGTTAAGGTTATCATTGTATCGTTAATTATTTTCTTTAAACAAATTCCGGTCTTTTTTTTATTTTGTAAAATTTATCATTTTTTTTCTATATTTTTATAATTTTTTTTTTTTTTTTTTAATTTTATATAAAGATAAAGTTTTCACAGTTCCGATACCTTACTTTTAATTCATGATAATGTATCGATTTATATGTACCTATGTGAAACCCGTTTCAAATATTATCTACACAGTATTTTATATTATTAATGTATTTGTATAATATTTATATATGGTATTGCATAAAAGCAATACATTTTATCACATTGATTCGTTATGTTTACAATTAATTTAATTAATAAAAATACCTACTTTATAATAAGTAAATCGTTCTTGTTCAGTTTCGAAATAGTATAAAATTATTTTTTAAACAAAATAGTTATGTAAAATTATATTTTATTACTCAATATATAATAACTTGGTGATCTAAAATACAATTTAAAGTGAGCGCTCGTAAGTTAACCAACGTGTTCAAAATTTTGTTAAGAGTTGACAATCAATTGAAGTAGATATAGAATTCTTTATTTTGATAATTTATTTTTTAATTTAAAATAACGTTTAAAAATTTACTTTTTAAATTGTTATATTGTATGTTTGTGTAGTTATTATTTTAAATAAATATGTAAACTTTAATTTTTTTGTATTTTAAAATTGTATCATTGTCAAAAAAAAAAAAAAAAATGATAATAAAATATAATTATTATATAATAAAAAGCACATAAACGAGTCAAAAAGTTTCTAAAATGTATTAACTCTAGTGATAAAACTGTTACATTGTTTGTTATAATTTGTATGAAAAATTTAACTATATATAAAATATAAAAATTAAAAAATTAAAATTATTTTTTATTATAAAATTTTATTGGTTATTAGTTAATTTCTATAAATATACTATTTGTATAATTTAAGTGTAAAAATATGAAACGAAATTAAAATTTAATTTTACCATTGTAATAATACATATTATATTATATAAAACTATTTATGCATGTCTAATTAAACAATAATGTATTTATAGAAATAAATATTTATACATAACATTTATTAGATGCGCTTATTATTGTGTTTCATTTTCCGTAAATGATAAACATGATAATAATATGTATATTTAATAAAACAAAGTATGTAGTTTGTACTCATATTAAATTTACGCGACTCATAATAAAAATTGTTCGTGTTTGGATGTTCATTGGTGTACACGTATAAAATAATGTAGATATAGCTAATACTGTTTAAATTGTCTACGATAACTTATCCCTAAAAGTCCATAAGATGCACTGTCTTTCCGACCCTTTCATTTAATTCGTTAATGCTATATAATATATTATTATAATATGTTCCCACACATACCTACTCGTGTAATACGATTTGTTACGGAAGCTGATTTGTGTATATACAACCGTTCCCAGTGCATCAGATTACTATATAATATATAACATGACACATAAACTATATCTTGTCGTAATTATCTTTAGTAAAAAGTTAATTTTTTTTTTTTTTATAATTAAATATTTTTGAAATATGATTTTGTAAAGTTATTATTAGATAAACGTCTTAAAGAAGTCCTCAACTAAAATACAAACTATTATATTGTAGTTTACTAATCCGAACTCTAAATAAAAATACTAAAATTATTGTAGTTATGCGTTTTTAAACAATAAATATTAAGCGATAACTATAACTAGCGTACTATATAGAGACAATTTAGTTTTTTTTTTTTTTTTTTTTACCTGAAAATTGATTTTTAAGCAATTGTATTACATCAAACGATCTTTCTATTAAAATATTTCCCTGTTGTTTAGAATAATGTCCTTGAGCTCATCATAAGGAAGTAACTTCTACGTCCTTTTTTTTTCTAAATTATCTCGTTCAGGGTGTTTTTTTTAATTGTGTTCCTTTCACCATTCCGTCAGTTAATAAACTTTAAAATTCGTCACCATATCTCGGCGTGTTTGTGAAAATTTTCCATCTCCTTTTATTTAAAATTTCCACTAATATTCGGTTTTCTTCTATTGTGTTTAAGAAGACCTCATTTGTTCTTCGTTTCAGTTCAACTTAATATTTTTTTCCCTCATCACGTTTCCGGGGTCTCTTTTCATATTTTTTTCTTGATATATAGTTATTTATTCTGAAATATTTTAAAAATTGAACTATCATTTATTTTCATTAAGTTTATTCAAAAAGTGACGTGTAAGTTTTAAGTTTTCAAGCCAATGTTTATAGATTAGTATAGAGAGAAAAATAATATCAACACAACATGGTTTAACACTTTGAGTGTATTATGTACAATTGTATACAAGTGACAAACTAAATCGTTTTCATATCCCATTGTCTTTGTAATGTAGCACTGGTTAGATATTAATTATTAGTACAATATCATCTGTATTTATTTTTATACCTTGTTTCAAGTTTTCATGAAATGTATAGGCTATAACCGAGTAACTACTAAAAACTTTTATTTTTATGCTTGAATATGTAATATTTGTTCGTAATCCAATGTACTTATTGCTCAAGTTATTTTTTTTTCTCAATTTAAAGTATAATTTATTATTAATAATAATAAACAAGTATCAATATATTGTATGTAATTATTAGAATTGTCATCATTAACATTATTATCATTTATGACTTAATAGTTGTTGGAGAGAACTAAGAATACTACAACAGCGAATAATTGAAAATCAGTGACTAAAATCATCAATTTCCATAATTTCTGTGTACAATGTACTCATGTACACTATACATGTTATGTATGTACTAATCTATATTACACAGTACATACGTTAATTCAAAAGTCGAGAACACAAAAGCTTATTATTCAATATTTAATAATGCAGTTCATTGTATTTATATATATATTAAAAACACGGAGCCTTACGATGTTTAATGATAAAAAAAAAAAAAATATCATCTAATCTCCTTTGTGTATGATGTGTAAATGTGTAACATTTCCTTACTGTTGATAGATATCTGATATTTTTGTATTGCACTTTTTATTAATAATGTGTATCAACTTTTTATTTTGTAGTTAAAGCTAAACACCACTATCGTGACTTTTTATGAATTTAGGTTTTTTCAGTGAAATAATCCAAAAATATCATTTAGATTTTAAGCAAAATAATTGTGTTTAGCAAATATATGTTTTATTATTTACAATATAGATAAATGTATCAGAAAATGATTTGTTCTTAAGTATTTTGTTACATAAAATATTATACGATTAAATTAAAGTAGATAATTTTAAAATGTGATCACTGTAGCGGATTTTTGGGCGTAATAGAATAGGTGCATCACATTTGAAATCCCAATTTACAGTACTTTTATTTTAATATTGTTTAAGTCCCACAAATTTTAGTACGCTCATGACCTACACTTAACAACGTAATGTATATTCAATTTACAGCCAAGTTTAACACGATCTATTGTAAATTAAAAAACTAGTCGTTGTAAGTATCAACTTTTAAACCTCTTGTATAGATAATATTAAATCCTTGAATGTATTTTATTTAGGCATATTTTATTTAATAAAAATCAAAAATATTTGGGTTGACGTGCTTACCATTTGCATAATATTATATTTTCAAAAAAATGTATAACCTACTTACATCTACGTAGGTGTATACAATTTGAAGTTCGAAAATCACTAAGAGAAGAGTGTATTAACTATTATATTCATGGTAGTCCGACGCACCATTTTTTTTTTTAAGTTCATCTACAATTTAATATGCTTATCATATTATGTTAAAATTATAATACATGGTAATTTAAATAACGGAAGAAATTATAGTGTAAAATAACCAGAATACAAACTAATTAAAATGTTTATAATTTAAAGGCCACAGGAAATATTTTTATTTGAATATATTTACTTGAGTAGGAACTATAATAAAAATAACGACAAACTTGATTAACTATAAATTCTATAACTTCATAACACATAAATAGTGTTTGGTAAAGCTCTAACAATAAAATCGTTTATTAGTGTTATAGAAAAGATATTTGTCTAATAATTATATATAATAAAAATAAGTAAATGAAATATGTAGTCTTGTCAGCGATATAAAATTGAATGGAATAAATATTAATATCCACATGAATGAACATAAATAATAACATATATACAAGAGTAGTGTATCCTAACCTTACTTATGAATTTAATCAAGAACCAAAATGATAAGTAACACTTAATAGTGATTGTTGATAGACAATTCATAAATATCATAGTAGTCACAAAGATAACAATGTATGAATAAGGATTTACAATGCATAGTCATATTTTTAAAATACTATGAATTCAGATATCAAACGCTAAAATCCAATTATTAGCCACATTTATCATTTTTGTTAAAAGTTTTGATTTAGAATCCAATAACTATAAACAAATTTTCAACAAGATAATGTATACAGTATTACTTGACTTAAATTTGATTAAATTATGAAATATATATAGAGTGATTTATCGAGCATGCTCACACCTTATTTTTATACATTAATTATTTCTACTAAATCTAAAAAAGTTCATTTTCAAATACTTATAATTTATTATCATTTAAACATAATCCAATAGTAGAGATGCATCATACTGCAAAACTTATTTTTTTTTTAAATGAACGTTATCCATGTTTACTGAAAATTTTAAGTCAGATGTTTTTTTTCTATGTATATTTAAATAAAAATTCAAACGATTAACTTTTGATTTATTAAACTTTAAGTTGGTACTTATACTAAGTATATTATGCTTAATAATAAGTTTAAAAAGTATAAGGCTTATTATTGACTAAGTATAATAAGTACTAGAATAAATATTTTAAAAGTTAATTTTTTAAATTTTATATACGTCATTAATTACCATTAAGTACTATCATACTTAATGCACTATTAAGTAATAGCTTAATTATAGGTTAAAAGATAGCTTAGAAACCATCGATTTACATTTAAATTTAGATATATAAAACATTCAAAATTAATCATGTGCTTAACAATTTATAGTAAAATTGAGAAATTTATATTTCAAAAGAAAGCAATTTATAACTCTTTATAGAATATAAGATGTTGTTAAATTATATGAAATATATTTATAAATTATAAAAATCAGAAATTAAATAAATGCATAGATAAATAATAAATAGAGTGTATTATTATATATTACAGAGAACAATAAAATATGAAAAGGTAAATAAGTGGAAATGTTGATTAAAACCAAATAAAAAACCTTCAAAAAACTAATAACTATTGCTCCAGTGAATTAATGCTGAAAATCTTTATATTATGGACTTATGAGGTAAGTAGTTTAATTAATGTAACATTTATATGTATTAATACATTATGTGCAAATTTAATTTATATTATTCCGAGATACTGAGTGTTAAAAATCGTTTTAACTATAAAATAACAAATACGTGCTTTGGTACTTAAAACTGAAATATTTAAAAAAAAATACGAGTACATTATATAATGTTTATATAATTAAATAACTATTAATCATGTATAACCAATGATAATTATCATGAATTATTCACAGCCTTGAGTAAATTGGGCTGTAATGCATTTTAAAAACACTAATGAATTTAAAATGTTCAGTAATTAAATCAAATACAACAAGTTATCTGATATATAATGTTATTAAGTAATTATAAGTATATTAAATTGATTGATGACAGTAAAATATTCTAAACCAGTAGCTAGTCAAATATAATTTAGTCAATAGTCATGTACAATTTGGTACCTATTTAATAATATATTAAAAATAATGAATCATATTTCTTATGAAAGATAAAATATGGATGATGGATGTCATTGTTCAGAAAACAAATTGTAATTTTATCACCTGTAAATTCAAGTAAAATTATTTATCTATTTACAAATAATCACACAATTTAATGCACCATTATCTGAAGAATTAAGTAATTTAAAAATATATCATTTAAGATTTTGAGTGGATTGACGAATGTATTTATTTTATAAGATGTGTTTTTGCTTTTATGTAAGTATACATTATTTATAGAAAAAAAAAATTAAGCTATTTATAGATATTTGAGGTTTTTTCTAAATATTTCAATAAAAAACAATTTCGTTTGATCAAATAGCTTAAAAATGTAGTACAAGGCTACATATAAGTTATACATTTTTATTATAGTTATTCAAAATATATAGAAATGGACATTTTTTTATAAGAATTAAAATATATCAGATTTTTAAACAAAGAATAGTGATTTCAGTTATTACTTATTAAGTTATAAAAAAAATAAAAATAATAATATATTATAAAAAGTGAATATTATAAATGTTATTTAAAAAATTGAAATAACTTAAAATAATTGTATTTTAAACATTTAATTCTGTAACGACCTAAAATTATGTACAAAAATATCTAAAATAATTAAATGAGATTAAAGATTAAAATGTAATTGGATTCAAAAATTTAGAACATAATTATTACTTAACATTATTATTCTCACCTTATATTCCATTAATTAAATATTTTAAATTTATAAATGTTGTTATTCTTAAGTACTTATCTACCAGCTACTTCGAAATTTGCAGTTATAATTTTAATAAAAAATGTTTTATAGACCAATAAATACTTTAACTCAATTATTATAGTTTCATGTACTCAAACAATTTTAAAATATTTTAATGGATTATTTTTGGTTTCAAAACTACTTAGTTTTAAAACTATACGGGTGCAAGGCAAAACCCTAAATATGGAAATACTGTTCTCTTAATGTGTGTGTGGTAATAATTTTGTTTTAGTTGTAACGTATAAAACCGTTAAATTTGTAAGCGATGAAACATTGCTTATTAATATAATAAAGTCGTTACGAGAATATATTTTTCATTTTATGATAACTTACACCCCATTAAATATATTTAGGTTTTGTTTTCTCCTGTCTTAATACCTAAGTAGTAGGTAACATAAAACATTCCACGAAGTGTCTACGAGTATTATAACTAAGTAAAAACTAAAATATAGATACCTACAAGATAAAACAACGTTTTTTTCATTCGAAGTTGGTCTATAATAATGAAGCTCTTACGTTAAGAACTCAATTATTTTTTTTTTAGTACATTCATAAATTATTGGCTGATTCGTCGAGTAATAGTACAAGCCAACTGAAATCTTAGTGAGGAAACATTGAGTTTCTAGTATATACTCTACGTCCCTATCACTCGAATGTTAGCTTATATTTTAAATATTACAGCAGTGAATATCACGGAGTATAATAATTCTATGTTATTTATTTTTTTTTTAATTATCTCAATATCTGTGAATATTATTATATTTTTTCTATATACTCAATATTTAGTATAGTAATAATTAGAAGTACCTATGTAAAAACCAGTTTTCATTACGTTATTATATATATTTATGTGTATATTTTATCGCATATCTAGCTAATGCAAATGTGTCCCGTCATTACGATGTAGTAATTTCAATGCGTGTCAAATAAATGCAGTTGTTGGGACGAACAAAATACATTTCGACTCATGCAATTTTGATATTACTACATTTAGGCGTGAGTTTATTTTTATGCAAAACAAAAAAAAAAATCTTTAATTATATATCCTGTCTAATACCCTTAAACGTCCCTCGAACTAATACTTGTATAGACGTTTGATAGCATATGTTTTATGTACGTACAAATTACTATTTATTTAAATCGATCAATAGAAAGTTAATTTTAAATAGTATAAAACTTAATATAATGTTAATTTTTTAAATGCTTTAAATAATTTTGATTTTATTATATGATAACTTACTATAAATTACTGGTTTAATTAGTAAACATTTCTAATTTAATATTAATATAAGCAAAATGTGCTTCATATATTTTTATTTTTTTTTGTATAATTATCAAAAGTTTGATCTGAGCCTAAACTTACGTGTGTATAATTATTAATAAATAAATGAAAAATTAAAAATGAATAGTTACAAAGTGTGGAATGTATAATATAAAACATTATTTATCATATTTATAATATAATATGTATATAGGTATATTATACTATTTATACGTAAAACTTTAAATTTTGCGCAATACCTTAAAACATTTTGTTGGTTGTGAAGTTGCTTATAACTTTAACCATAATATATAGATGCTTGGTTTTTTTAGTTTTGCGTCAAAAGTAATGACTGACTTTACTGATATTCATTTTATATAATATAGAGTGCATTACGATTATCTATTATCTTCATTTGTAATAAATAATATTGAATGACACTTCTTTAGCATTTCTATATTTATATTAAATTAAAATATATTTTTATCATAATAAACACTACTGCATTTTGTATCATGGTTAACTAATTATGATAATTTTATTTTATTTCAACAATACTAGCATAAAATTAAATTAAATGTTAAATAATAATAATTAAAAAAATGATAGATATAACAATGTGCATTTCATGGTTTTTTATTTTAACGTATAATATTGTATACGCTATGTAATGTATGTATAATATTTATAGCAAATTATATTGTTGTGCCTATATATTACCTTATTAAATTCATGCCTGTAATTTATATTTCCTATTTTACATAGCGTTTTACATAAAATTTAACTCCTGTGTTAATTATTTTCTTTTGTAACCCATGTAATTTTATTTGAGTGTATTTTCTTATTATAAAAAAACTTTTACAGATTGTTTAACTATTAATAAAAAAAAAAAAAACATAGTTAAATTTAATTTAGGTAATATAAGATTTATTTAGTCAAATCATTAATTAAAAAGATAAAATTTACAAAAGTGAAGCGATAAATATATTAATTTTAAAACAATGGAATTTTTTCTGTTTGTATTTCAAATTTGTGGGTGGTTTATAGTAGAAAATTGAATGTAGTTAGTATTTAGGGAGTCGAGAGTAAAAAATGCTTGATATATATATATATTTTTTTTATTTAATTCAATAACATAATATAACTTTATATACTTAAAATTTTCTAATATTTCTAATATAATTTTCAATTTACAATAAATATTTCGACTATTTTTAAGCTATTTATAATTATCAGAAATTAATTATTTTTTAAATTTTTTTTGTAAATGACGATAACAAATTATTTACTGTGTTAAAATTCTTGAAAATTTAATACGATATCTCACATAAACTGTTCTTTTTTGAAACGCATTAAAACGGTTTTTGTTTTAATAGTAATTTGAAGTTAAAACGATGATGAAATTCGTCAAAATTGTAAAAAAAAAAAACAAAAATCTAACTATTTTGTAGTTAGACATTTATACAAATTTTTATTTTTATATCTAAGTTTTGAAAATTGAATACAAAATTCTTCATTAGTAGTTTAAACTGAAATCGTAAAATCTCAAAAATATATAAAGGTATTTATTTTTTATAAACATTTGTAAACATTTGGTTGAAATTGCTTATTTTTTTTTATTTAAATGATAAATAGTAATGTTAACTATTTTGTTATGATTTAATAATATTATTTATGAGGAAGATGGTATTAAATTTTGAGTTTTATAAGATGATATCAGAATATAGTGTAATTATAATTTATTATAATAATTAAATACAAATAATACAATAAATGTGATACTTTTGAAAAAAATTATATCACACTATTTTAAAACTAAAATTAAATAGCTAAATCAAACAAATATATCACAACATAAACTTAGTAATACAATGAGATAGTCTGTCTCTACTTATAAAGGTTTTTTTTATAAAAATAAATGATAAATATAGAATAGATTTTAATTTTTTTTTTTTACATTAACTGTTTTTGATCTAGACAATTATCTGAATGGTCATATCATTAGTTGGCCTGTAATATTAGTAATAGCCAAAAGTTATACCATGATAATATTTTATAAAATAATATAGCATTTTAAGAAATATCCTGTAAAAATAAATACTTATATAGTTTTCAAATTAAGTTTCACTTGAACTTTACTCAACATCCATATAAGCCTTTGAAATTATTGACATTAAAAGCTCTTAAATGTTTGTTTAAATATTATACTGTTATGGTTTATGAACACTTAAATGTATTCAGCATTTGAAACCAAAATAAACCGTTGAATACAATGCTATGCTTGAAATACTATTTATCAAACAATAGAAATTTTAAAAACTACATAATGTTTATATTTATTGTACAAATGTAAGACATTCATAAATTTTAAATTTTACTATAAAATTGTTAGCATCAATTTTAAATTTTTAGAATTTATTAATAATTGATTAAATTATGATCTATTAATTGTAAGATTATTGTGTAAAATAAACTTTTACGAAATTAAAATCATTAATTAAACCTAGACTATATCTAGAATAATATATGTTTTATATAAATTGTTTTATATTATGAGAGTCGTAAGTATATGACTCTAATCTTTAAAATATATATCAAAAACCAAAATTTCCAAAATTTAGGCTAAATTTAGCATATATTTAAATAATCAACAAACGTAGCCTGATTATCTAATCAGGTCAGTGGTTCATATTACTACGTAGAACCTTATTTTTATCAAACGAAATTAAAAATTAAAATATAAATTACATTGTAGTTACAGAATCTATTATTTTTCATTATTTTTATTACGGGTGACTATTTCTATGGGCATAGTATAATTAATTGTGTATTTATATTCATGATAATTATATATTTATCTTCTAATATTTTATAGTGATTCATAAAATTATTTTTCATAGTTACTATCCTTTTATCATCAATTAAATCGTTAGTACCTACGCGTTTTTACGTGATATAAAATTTTATTAAATATTAATATGATATTTAGTCATAGGACTTACACTATTCGTTATTTCATTGTATTTTGCATTCCAAACTTCAATATCACCACAAGTCTTTGCTGAAAATATTTTTCGGATTATTTAAACGTGTGGTTATAAGACTATAAAATGCACTTTATGAAAAATAAAACATCCACACAGAACCAATGCGAAACCGCCTAGCTCGTGTACACACGATATACAACTGATCGACTATTCAAATTTAATTTAAAATTATTCTTTAATTTTAGTGGAATGGCTCTCCCCCTGCCACCAATCGTAATTCAACATTATTTACTACTAGTCGCATACTGCGACCGGTTTTGCGTTTTCAAGTTCATCAGGATTCGCGTTGTTGATTTGCTATTTTCCCATAAAATCTTCGCACATTAACACTAAAGTTGACTATTTCATATTTATAATATTTATTAATATCAGATATTATATTTGAATTAAGTTTTAAAGTTTTTGATTATATTTATTATTTATTAATTAATAAAATAGTTATATGTATAATATGTAACTATTAGGTATAATATTATACCATAGTACCTATTTGCCTGTTTCTACGTTTGATTTTTATTTAATTTGATTTTATTAAACAGGTATCTACTATAAACAGTAAATACTTAAATTATAAAATAATGAATACACCAGTTATCAAATCCTATTGTAATACATTTAAAAAAAATTGCTACAAAATGGTAAGGGATATATAACCAGATAAACCTACTATGATTTATAACGATTTCAATAATTTTAGTAGAACAAATAATATTCTAAGAGGAATTCAATTTCACTCAGCATCATATTATGTCATAGCTAATAAATAATAATACATGGTTCCATGCCAATAGTTATTTAATGAAAAAATAGTTATTTGATTCACCGAAAATAATAACGTTAGACTATATAATAGTATAATATCTAGAACTAATAGATAATACGAGTATGGATAGTTATAATGTTTAACTTTGATCAAATAACAACAGTTGTTATTATTGCAAAGATGCATGTTCAGACTAGATCATCAAAATTGATAAAGGTAACTTCAACATAAAATATTATGTTGAATATCACAAAAAAAAAATATATATATAAATAATTAAAATACAAAGCTATTTACTATATTTTATAGCAGTAAGATACTGTTATACTATTATTGATATAATAATGTTTCAAAAAATAAACTGCACTTCATGTGAATCAATGTACAACGTCTGAGGACTGTAAATTACTGTTACTATATTCTTTGAATGCTATTAATTTAGAATTTATATAGATCAAATACATAGATAATTATACATATATTGGAATAAGTATATTCAAAATCAACTACTTATGTATTAACTATGGATTGGTGATTAATTATTATAATTTTAAAAGTGGTTAGAGCAGTTTTATTTTTATGCGTAGAAACTAGATTTTAATGGAAAATTCTACATATTTGCGTATAGGCGTAAAAACTATAAAATTTAAAAAAGTAATGACTTAATTTGTATAGCACAATAATTAAATACATTCAATTAAAATAATTCCTGCGGTAGATATTACAATTTATAATAATACATATATATAGTTAAATAAAAACACTATACATAAGAAGGTTTGAAAAATAATGAAAAAAAGTACTTCTCGTATAATAGATTTAAAACAAATACATTATATTGTACAAAAGTAAAAAACATTATATGAAAAAAAAAATCTTACTGCGGCATATCTATACTCCGTTCACGATTTTCATCATAAAAAGTATAATGATAGTTTAATTATCACTTTATTCTTAAATAATATCATAATATTATTCTATAATGGACATTCGTGTATGGTAGGTAAACGCATAGTGACATGTTCAAGAGCATATATTAGGCTAAATAAAAAAGCCGAAATAATTGCTGAAGCGAAAGCTAGAATCGCACCGATGGACAGAACCCTTCCCTGATGGAGACTAGAGAACATCATATTATATAGGCTGGCGGGTGCGTACGTCACTAGGTAGGGAAGGGGTACAACGGATAAGTCTAGTGTACGAAACTAGATGATTGTTTATAAGTTATGATGTACTATTTTTTATGTATTATGTATTGAATTGTATACTACACTAAACGATAGCAACGGAGGAGTTGTATTGTTCACAGAGATTCTCCTTTGCTATTGGTTTTTTAAGAAAAAAACAGGTAAACTAATAGTACAATATTATGTTATGACAGCAGGAGCCTTAAACTTTATGAGACTTACCTATTTTATATTATAATAACAAAAGCCTTGGTTGAATAATGGACTATATTTTTATTTTATTAAGCATAAAAGCAACAACAATAATAATAACAATAGTAATTTTATTAATTTACAGTGGTTATAATACAAATAATAATAATGTTAAATAGCTATTAGGCTGTTTAAATAATAAATATAAATCTATAAAACAACAGATAATATAAAATAAGAGATCAATACGACAATAGATAATATACAAAAGATTAATAAACCAATAAATAATATTTAATAAGAGTATAAAACTTTGACTTCTTTAATTAATGCGGTGCACCATCTAACCTTCATTATGATTAAAATAATAAGTTATACCAAAATTTGTAAGTATAATAATAATTACAATAAAAATAACAATGTTTGATCTCACACATCTTTATAAAAATCACTAATCACACTGGTCGATCGGGCGATTGTAAACTCCACCGATTTACAGGTAGTTGATTTTAGGGTTGGATTTATAACATGTAAATTCCACCGATACATTTTTTTGACCTGAAAACACGTAAACTCCACCGATGGTAAAATCCACGGATTAAAACTATATGTATAGAATATACACATCAACTTTCGACTGACTTATCTTAAACTTCATCTTAACGACCGCAGATAAAATCATATCGCAATATCACGAAACGAATGCATTCGATAAAATATTTTCGGAGACACATTTTAGTGCGTCCGTTGATTTCAAAATGAACACATTAAGTGAATTAACCAGTGAACGTGGAAATATGTTGCTTTGTTTGAATAATTTTAAATATTACAAACAAACAATTTTAAAATCCGGTGAAGAAAAGTGGCGGTGTGAAAATAAAAAGTGTTCCGCGGTTTTAAAAACAATTAATTCTGGAGAAAATCGTTTAATTACATTTCAACGAACAGAACATACTCATGATGCGTCAACCGAAAATAGCATTCAACGACAAGTGCTTAGTACTGGAGCAAAACGAAAGGCCATAGAAAATAATTATGAAGCACCAAGGAAAATTATCAAACACGCATTAGACGAAAGTTCATTGGATGGAAATAACAGTACAATACAGGTTAGAGATGTAAACTATGCTAAAAGAAATTTATACAATGCTAGGAGAAAGACAATACCAAAAATACCTATAAATTCATTTGACGTCCATAATTTTTTAAATGAAACCCAATGTATGACGAGTAGAAATGAAAATTTTCTTCAATATAATAGTAAAAAAAATGGTATTATTATATTCTGTTGTAAAATAAACTTTGAGGATATGTGTAAAACAGAAATTGTTTACATGGATGGAACATTTACATATTGCGTAAAGTATTTTTTGCAGTTGTTTACGATACATGGATACCTAAATGGCCATTACGTTCCTTTGTGTTTTTGTGTATTAAAAGATAAACACGTGTCCACTTATTCTGAATGCTTTAAAATTATTTATGAAATATGTTCATCTTATGGTTTTGTTTTTGAACCAAAAGAAATCATTGTTGATTTTGAAAAAGCAATACACAATGCATGTGATTTAATTTGGCGAAATGCGAAATTAATGGGTTGTAGGTTTCATGTAACACAAAGTTGGTGGAGAGCAATCCAAAGATTTGGTTTAACTGAAGATTATAAAAAAAAAACCGAAGTAGGTGATTGGCTTAGAATTTGCTTTGGATTAGTATTTTTAGACTCTGAAGATGTTTCTAATTTTTTTGCAATAGAATTAATGTCTATAAAGCCCGAAAACTCAAAATTAACACAATTTGCCGATTATATTTTAGACACCTACATTACAGAAGAAGCATTATTTCCACCAAATATTTGGGCTCAATGTAGCGCTGAATTGAATTTAACTACAAATGCATGCGAGTCGTTTCACTCACATTTAGCTCAGTCCTTTACTAACACACATCCAAATATACATCACTTTACAAAAGCTCTACTAGATATTCAATCATTCACTTACATTAAATTAAACAGTATTAATGAACCTAATAACCTTAGAAATTCACAATCAAAGACACGCCAAAAATATTTAAACACCATCATTTCGTCATTTAAGGCAAACAATATTACCATTATACAATTCGTCAAAGCTGCATCTAAACATTATTCAACCAAATTTTAAAACCAAACAAATTTTTTTAAAACCTAAATTTTCTTTGATTAATTATTTTTTATTCATTTATTTTAATTAACATTATTTTAACATCGAACTAGTGATCACTATTAATTATTATTATATCATTTATTTTAATATTGTGTAAAAAAAGATATAAGTATCTAAATATAATATATATAAATAATACATTTTTATTAGATTTTTATGATTTTTTTTTTTTAAATTATTGTTAGTTATCATTAATTATTATATATTTTTCAATTTTCTATTATTGATATTCATACGTGATGATAATAAATTAATTAAAATGGAATCTATAATTTGAAAAATAACATAGATGGATGAATACATTAAACGATATAGAACGATATTTATCACGGTTGAAAGGGTTAGAGTATGGCTTAAAAAATGATGCAGCGTGCAAATGATATTCAATCAAGAGAGCAAATACTGAACTATGTAACAAAAATGTATAAGATGTTGCTTAGACAAACAACCTAAGAGAAAGAAAGAAAAAAGCTGCAATTAGACGCTATAACGGAAAAACTAACAGTACAGAAAAAATTTTCAGTGACACATTTACACATAGAAAAAAAACAAGAATCATGGAAAATTCGCTGACATTGGAAACATAGAAAAATACAACAATATGACAAGAAAACATAAAAAAATAATATAAATAAATGTGCGAATGAGACTCAACAACTGTGGTCAATAAAACAACATAGTATGTTAGCACCGTTATCAGGTTGTAGACCAAGCAGCACGGGAAGCAGCGCAAACGAACAATAATAACTTAAAACTAGATTTGTATAGGCAAAACAAATATATTATTATTATATAGATATTTATTAATCACTATTTCATTCGGTGGTGTAAATAACGGAAAGTATGTAACGAGAGTTCGAACTCTGTTATAATGTAAATAGAGGTTTACTGTAACTGATAACAAGAGACGAGGGTTAATTTGAACGTTTAGTTTGAACGGGATCAATACATTATTATTTTTTATTAATTTTTGTTTTTTATTAATAATTAATATACGTTTCTGATTAGGGGTAAGCTTTATATAACGGTCTAAACTTGTTTCATCAAAAAACCACTAATTGACCATAAAATATGTTCAAGTAATAATTATTACATACATAGATACATAGATAGATAGAGGTATCAACGGCATGCACTAGAAATACAGCAAATAAATTAATGGGTCTTGTGTGCAACGCATAAACTACAAGAGATGCAATGCTGATCGTGCTTGATCTTTATAGTATTAAGAGTGCAGTGGATATTAATTTCACATCTATCGTTGTTTTTTGCCTGTGTACGATTTATTGACAAGGAATGACACACCATTCATTATTTTCTGCTGTTAAAATAAATATTATGTATTCAAAGACTAGCATGGATATTATTATGCTAATTATGATATTTTTATTTCATCGTAATTTATAAATTTTAAATTTTACTTAAAAACATAATTAAACTCATTTTAGTGCATAGTGAAATTTGAAAATCTGAATGTTTAAATAAGTTTTACAAATTTGATAACTATTTGTAGTCTATAATTAATGAATAGTGTTATGTAGAAAGTTTGCTTTATATGGTAGGTGCAGAATAGTTTTTTAAAATATTTTGTGAAAACTACCTCATTCCTAAATATTTTAATTTTCATATCATATTCTAATATTTCAATTTTAAGATATTAAAGCAAATTAATTTGTATACAAAAATATTATTTTTTTAACATTTATTATTCATTATTTATAATTAAATACACACATTAAATGCTTTATTAATATAAATTGTTATTTTGTGATGTGCTCATATTATAAATAATATCATACAGTTAAAGCGGGTCACTTTGACATTTTAATTTAAAAATTGCATAAATTGAATAAATATTTAAAAATATTTTACTTCATTAAATAATTTTATTTATATAATATTTGTATCGGTAAAATAATACATATTATATAGAAATAATTAGTAGTTATCTATACAGTTGTATACATTACCATTGATTTTAGAATAATACACCATTACTCGTACAAATATATTACACTTTATATACTTATACAGGAGTATATGTAATATGTATACTCCATATATTAATATAATATGTAAAATCAATAGTATAAAGCTGTAGTGCAAATATTTATATTCTTCATTATTGTTTAGAATAGTATTTAGCAGGGCTTAAAACGTTATAATAACGTTATGTTTGACAAAAAACGATTAAAATTTGTAAATGTAATTATAACGGAAAACAATAAACATAAATAATTAAATAACACAAAACAAAACATAACGATTGACAAAATAGTTATAAATACTATATTTATATAATATAATATGATCATAAAAATTATCTTTATTAAAACTATTAGTTAAATATTTTAATAAAAGACATGATTAAGTTTGTTTTAGTACATTGACTGACAGATGAAGGGTGGACGTTCTGAGGTGGTTCGTACCAGTTGTTTAGTATAGTTGCTTGAAGAGTCATAGTTTGAATTGTCTTCATTAGTAAATTGTGATACAGAGAGGTATCCCGAATCTTGCAATCCATTGTGTGTAAAATGTTCTAGCAACAGTTGCTGCTCCTTGGTTTTCTAAAGAAATAACTTCTGGCCATAAAGTAAATCTATCAATGCACGTGAGACAATAGTGAGATCTCTACGAATAAGACATGATTGTAAGGTCTAGATGGAATACGTTAAAATCTCTGCTGTTACGTGACGTGTAATTTTGGCTCGTTGACACTCAATATATTCCTATAACTAATTTCTGTAATTCACATCAATAGAAAGCTGTAAAAATTGTTATTTTACTAGCTTAATAGTAGCTTTAATTATTTTATGTAATGAATAACATTGAAAGCTGTCTGATGGAAAGGTTTTGTAATAAAAGGTTTAGCAGTTTAAGTTATTATGCCACAAGATTCAGTGCTATTTTTATCGAGTATTTGAACTTTCTTGAGCTGTAGACCAGTGTAGTTTAGTACAAATATTTTTAACCCTTCATTTTGTGGTCTCACGATCGGGATGTTAAACGACGGGCACTTGATTCAGCGTTTTGTTTACGCAAATTCGAGCATTGATCGATGATGAGTTTCTTTTTCAACGTCGCAATTTCTTGATACATGTTTAAGGATGATGGTAGATGTAGAAATTTAATATTTTTTCTATTGCGGCATACGAGTTCATACAAATAACGTATAATTAAATGGTATTACGAAATTTTAAATTACAGTGGAGGGAGAACTGGGTTGCCATCTCGCCAGCCCGTCTCTTCTATTTTTGTTATAACTCGATTTTAAATGGCATAAAAATAGTAGGGATGATCATAGAAATGCGTTCAAATGTCATACTAAAAAGGTTACATACCAGAAAATACTAAATCCTGATATGGGGTGGGCTGGTATGACATAGGTATGTTCGAAAACTTTGTGGATTAAGATCGTCACTGCATAACCATTAAACTCGATTAATCCTATCTAAGATATCACAACTATTTTTTCTACAATTCAACGTAAATAATTGCCGATTTGGTTTACTTATCACCCTGTTAACAATATTAGCTTTGTGTGTAATAATTGCTGGAAATGTCATAATAAACTAGCCGACCACATAAAAAGAACACTATGGTATTAATAAGATGCTTAAGTTCAATAGGTAACAAATTATACTATATAATATAACCTACCAGAGTTTTCATAGTGTAGGAAGTGTATACTGAATTGATTTAATCACTTATCTTTGTCTAAACTTTTTGAAATTATAGACTAAGTAAATATCAGTTAATTACAAATGAAATATTTATGTGTATAATTATTATAATATTTTAACGAGACTCAGTTGCCTAGGCAAGGGGCAAACACATTGCACCCACTATCCTCCGCGGTACTGTACCTTTTGGCTACTTCCTAAACCTCTACATTTTAACGAGGCTATGAGTAATGATAATAACACACATTCATGCAAGCATACAACTGTATAATGTTTGAATCTAAGTTTTAATATTGTATATAATATTATATAAACATAGCCATAAAAGTGTTAAAATTCTAGATTTCAAAGAAAGCTGTTATAGTATAATTATATGATTAATAATTGCCTATTGTTATTATTATTTTTTTTTTTCTTGTGGAGGAGGAGGAAGAGGATGGAGAAGGTTCCAATACACATTTTCAAATGTTCTTTTTACTACAGTAGAGGTTAAATTAATAAGTTACTATTAATATTCGATCGATAATCTGATACTCATATTTTTAATCAAAGACATAGCTAATAATATTGTGAAATATTAATTAGATTTCGATAAGTAGTAAAAATGAAAAATCGTCTGTCATTATAATTTAAGATCGTTAAAGAAATCAATCCATAAATTTTCTAGGCATGATTTTAGTCGTTCATTCAATATGACTTTGAACGTGTTTAAAAATAATAATTCGTCTTATGTACAAAAACCGTTTGATGTACCACTCAATATAGGTTTATTTAGAATTCTAGCAGCTTTACTAAAATGTCAACGTAAATTTAAATTAATCGACTTTGTCAACATATAAGCAACTAAATCACGGGCCAGAGTTCTTCCTGGTATTCGTATGGAACATACTATATTATATATTATAACAAAGTCAAGTTAACAATCCATGTTAAACGAAAAATATGAATAATTATAAAGCTTTATTGTGAACATAACTATAATTCTCGAGAATTTTAGACGGTAAATACTTATAACAATAGCGTATAGCTTCGTATTATACATAATTTTAAACGCGCGAACTGAATAACGTTCTTAATACCTTACCGCTGTGAATAAATGTATATACCCGCATTATTAATAGATCGACAATTTTGCAAAAGTCTTAGTCACCTATATTATTATAGCACCATTACAGTGATCGATCATTAAAAAATAAAAGTCGTTTAAACTGAATATAGCTCGGTTAATAGAGTTATTATGCCGATAGTTATAATAAATACCTATGTAGACATCGA